GCCAGCATCCCTCAATGGCGCCTGCGCGACCTGCGCTTGCTGCTGCTGCTGCTGCTGCCATTCGCAAGTAGGTCGGGCGAGAATATATCTGCTCGTCCCCCTGCGGCATGACCTTATCTCCTCAGAGCCACACCTAGTACCTCTACGCGTCGATGACGCAGCTGAAGCCATGGCGACGCAGTGCGACGCAGCTGAAGCCATGGCGACGCAGTGCGACGCAGCTGAAGCCATGGCGACGCAGTGCGACGCAGCTGAAGCCATGGCGACGCAGTGCGACGCAGCTGAAGCCATGGCGACGCAGTGCGACGCAGCTGAAGCCATGGCGACGCAGTGCGATGCAGCTGAAGCCATGGCGACGCAGTGCGACGCAGCTGAAGCCATGGCGACGCAGTGCGACGCAGCTGAAGCCATGGCGACGCAGTGCGATGCAGCTGAAGCCATGGCGCCGCCGCAGTCAGAAGGGAGTTTTGGGAGCAGTGCAGTGCAGTGCAGTGCAGTGCAGTGCAGTGCAGTGCCACACCGCCGTCAAGCTGGCGGGAATCGCGGGCGGTGCTTTCCCGTGTGGCGCCATCGACCATTCTCCGCACACCGCGCTGCGGCCGTCAACGGACACTTCAACTGACGATGCCCTTCTCACCGGCGACTGCTTGCTGCCGTTTACGACGGCACCGCTGGAAGCGGAATGCGTGGTGGCGCGAGACGAAATGGGGCGCCTTTTGAGGCGACTCAAAAGGCGCGAGAGGAAAATGGGGCGCGGGGAGTTCACACGCTAAAACCCGTTACTCACACACTCTCGTCTCTCCCACATTCCTTATTCCATACGTTTACGTGGCTCTCGTCGCTCCACGCCCTCCCAGTCCTTGCCTTCATTTCCCCCGCTCTTTGCGCTCGCCTCCCCTCCCGTCACCTTTGGCAAGGCCCTCCCTTCCCCCTCCCGTGGCCCACGCTTTCTCTGAGTGTCACCCTCGCTTTCCCATCCCGTCGTGACGCCGATTTCCCATCCCGTCGCCCTCGCTTTCCCTTCCTGTCGCCCTCGTTTTTCCCTCCCATCACCAGCGTTGATCGTGCTCATCGCATGGCTTCCCAAGACCTTCGCCCACAATTCCCTTTCCAGGATCCCTCGCAACCTCCCTTCCCTACCTCCATTCTCCTCCTTTTACCCCTCCCCCGTCCCTCTATTCTACCCCATGCCCCATGCCCCATGCCCCATGCCCCGTACCCCATGCCCCATGCCCCATGCCCCATGACCCATACCCCATGCCCCATACCCCATGCCCCATACCCCATGCCCCATGCCCCATGCCCCGTACCCCATGCCCCATGCCCCATGCCCCGTACCCCATGCCCCATGCCCCATGTCCAATGCCCCACACCCCATGCCCCATACCCCATGCCCCACCCCATGCCCCATACCCCATGCCCCATACCCCATGCCCCATGCCCCGTACCCCATGCCCCATATCCCATGCCCCATGCCCCGTACCCCATGCCCCATACCCCATGCCCCACTTGTGACACAAGACACGCCCACTTGTGACCTTGGCAAACTCACTAACTCCATTACTGGCTTACACACCTTGCTCACTCACGGACTGCGCTCACTCACACACCTTGCTCACTCACGGACTGCACTCACTCACACACCTTGCTCACTCACACACCTTGCACACTCTATCCTTAGCTCAATATGTCGTACAGCTCACTCGGTCTCAGTCCTTTGCTCACTCGGTCCTTTGCTCACTCGGTCCTTTGCTCACTCGATCCTTCTGTTCACCCTGTCCTTCTGCTCACTCTGTCCTAAGATCACTCTTGCTCACTCTGTCCTCTTCCTCACTCTTCCTCTTGCTCACCCTGTCCTGTTGCTTACTCTGTCCTCTGCTCACTCTGTCCTCTGCTCACTCTGTCCTCTGCTCACTCTGTCCTCTGCTCACTCTGTCTTCTTGCTCACTCTGTCTTCTTGCTCACTCTGTCCTCTTGCTAACTCTGTCCTCTTGCCCCCGTTTCCCTCTTACTCACTCTTCCTCGTGCTCACTCTGTCCTCTGCTCACTCTGTCCTCTGCTCACTCTGTCCTCTTGCTCAGTCTGTCCTCTTGATCACTCTTTTTCTCACTCTTCCTCTTGCATACCTCTCCTGGGTTCCCTCCCTGCCTTGTGGATGTTGCATACCTCGTTGCCACTCTCCTCCTATTCCCTCCCTTCTCCTCTGCACGATATCCTTGCCCCATTTCACCCATCCCTCTTTTCTCCTCGCCTTCCAGGCTCCCATCCCTCGTTCGTCTCATGTATGGTCTCATCATCTCATGGCCCGTATCCACTCCCCCTGTTTTTGGCTTCAGGGTTATCCCCACATCGCGCCCAGGACATGCGCCCCACGACATTCAACTGCATCTCCTCTACTCTACTTCCGTGGCTTTAGAAGAGGAAAAGTGATACTGTCCATCGGTTTGTCGTATGATTTTGTTAGGTGACAATGACAGGGTTGGGTAAAGCACATGGGGCCATGGTTGCAACCACTAAAGAATGTAATGTTCGTCTAGTATTTGACAATGCTGCCAACCACACACACTGTACGCACCGGTATGACTTTTATATATAGTACCACTCGCATCAGAAAGGGCCAGAGTTACCGTAGTAGCATTAGCCTTTATGTGTGTGGATGAGACTCAGCTGATCGCAACAAGATGCTTACAGCCTCTGGTGACTACAGTTCAGTACTTGTGGTATTGACAATAACGAAGCACCAGTTGTTGATACTCCGCAGTCATGCTCCAGTGATTGCTGCTGACGATCCTGTGTCAGAGATGAGCGCGAGGAGCGTGTTTCCACGTCAGGGTTGCCGCTTTTTGGAGCCATGAAAGTTTCATGTGGTGAGTGGTCTAGGCGGGTGGATAACGGCTGTGTTCTCCACCAATTAATATTTACGAGTTTCCAAAGTCTTTGGTAGCACGTTGAGATCTGATTGGCGCAGAAAATTACAGCGTGGGCATCATCTCACCTCCATTCCGCCTGCCTCCGGTTGGGTCTTCTGTTCCTTCGATGATGGTTTTTGAAAACCAGTTCCTCTAGTGCATTCTGATAGATATCGAAGCTCCCCGAAATGGCCTGTACAGCGGTGTAGAAGTCAACTGGGCAAAGTATTGGTACTGGTTTCTCAATTTTCACGACTTTTTTTTACTCCACCACGTAAACCACGTCATCCTGGCTAAACAATCCCAGTTGTCACGCACGTACGTCAGCAGCAGAGAAACCACAGATGCTTCTTCCTCAATTCCACGTCACTGCATCATGGGCATCTTTGTTCGCTGGCGGTGCTCGCATCTTCAGTCTGCAGCAGACTGACCAGAGGAACCGCGTTGAGTGATGTGGTACAGTGTTCAGTGGACCGTCGCATCGAACCAAGCATTTCGTTTTACACCAGCTTTGGCGGTGTAGATTCGACCGTGCTGTGCTGTACGTATCGGAGCAGCTTTGGCGGGTTAGATTCGACCATTGGGTCCTCCGGACCTCCACCGAGACTGGAGCAACTTGAAGTGCTTGTGCGCTCAGAAACAACCATAACCGCTGGAGGGATAGCAAGAGGGCCATATGTCACCTCCAATCCTTGGTTGTCCTCCTCTTTTCTCCCTCATACGCTAGCCCCCTGCTGAGTTGTAAGCTTGGCTTGCGATTTGCAAAGCCAGCACGACAGAAAAACATGCTGGCTTCGCTTCGGCTTTTTTAGTCCGAACCGCGGGCACACGCCGGAATCTCAGTACAGCCGCATGGGACGTCGTTCGTCCTCTCTACAGTGCTGCGCGTGCGCCAGTCGTGTTCCGCAACAAGCTTGTCCTCCTCCACTCCAACGTCGTCCTCGTCACTCCCTTGCCCCTTCACCTCGCAAAAGCAACCGTCATCAACTTGGCGCCGCGAATGGCCATGATTGAGCCGTTCACTCTTCTCTTCTCACTCCTCCCCTCTCCTCCCCTCTATGTACAGTACAGCGCATCAAATCGAAAACCCGTCCCGTGACTCCATCCCGTCAGTCACGGTCACGGCCGGTCCGATCAGAGCATCCTGCACAGGCTACGCTTCTGACCATGCCCCCTGTCTTCACACCTCCCTACCTCATCACGGCACAAACACGCCAATGTGTTTCGCTCCCTCTTGACACGCGCTCTTTCTTCTCTCGCTCGTGTGTCAGAGTGTAGTGTCCATTTGCACGTTATCCCGCTCCTCTCGCCATACCCACCCCATTTCCGGGAGGGCGTCGTTGCATTTTCCCCACGTGTGTTCGTCCCCTCCCCTTTCCCCCAACTCCTCCCTTCCGACCCCACTACATCTCTTCTTCCCGACACCATGATTACGTTGTGCGTTTTTCGCGCTTTTGCACTTTCGCGCTTTTCTTACCTTTTCCATCCTCCCTTTCTCCTCGCCTCGAGTCGCGACGGGTCTGCGCCTGCCCTTTTCTCTCTGAGCACCTACCGAGACACGCCCTCCCCCACCCCTGTTGGACGGGATTGCACCTTCCTTCCTTGGCTCAATTTCCTTCTGACTTTCTTCCTCGAACCCAATCGTACATTCTGATCCTTTCCTCGAGAATAGCCCAGTGAGCCAATCTGAGCCCTTTCACGCGTTCGTCTCTCTCCTCCCGAGCGGCTGTCAACGGCGAACGCTCTTACCTTCGTGCGCATCTGGACCTTCCGCCGGGCTCGGAGTTAGGATCTTGCGGATTAATATCAAACGCAGACCCCGTTTCGTTGATTAGAGCCTGCGTGCCTGCGACCGACAGACTAAGCCTGCTCGCCTAGTTCTACACATCGTTCAGCACTCCGCAAGCACACTCTTCTGCACGGTACCTTACTAGTACTGCTACCACTGGTGCTCAAATCAGGCGCTGTGCCTCTTCGAACATTTTATACTACGAGCGGCCGCATCGCCGACGCGCAAGACGCGCAGCGGGCCGTTGAACGCGAGCAGGCCCCCTCGGGAACGCAGCGGAACTCTCGCTGGTGGACGAGCAGATGGCGGATCGCCCAGAGTCACTGCATGACGCCAAGCGCCGGCGCGGATTCACCGATCTCCCCGTAAGTCATGGTAACTGCGTTGCTCCGTAACCTGCTCCCCTTCAAATCCGTTACTTTCCTCTTCCCCCTCCCGCTGTTCTCCTCTCAAACCCGCCCCCTCTATCCCTCCGCCTCTCCTCTTCCCGCTCCCCCTCACTCTCAGGCGGAGCTGGTGAAGGTGGTACCGCGCCGCTCGTTCTCCGCCTGTCCGCCTTCCGCGCTCACCTCTCCATCCCTCATCCCCCGCACTTCTTCTCCTCCCTCTGTGCCACTTCCCCGTCATCACCGCATGCAGGCGGAGCTGGTGGAGGCGGTGCTGCGCCGCTCGTTCTCCGCCTGTCTGTTTCTCCCCCACCATCATCCATCCCTCTCCTCCCTCATCCCCCCCTTTTCCCCCTGCGACGTTGTCGTGTTCCCCTTCATCGCCGCGTGCAGGTGGAGCTGGTGGAGGCGGTGCTGCGCCGCTGCCTGCAGTCGCCCGCCTGCTCGCCGCGCCAATACGCCCACACGCTCCTCGTGTACGTCTCAATCCGTTCCGTTCGCTCCCGAGCCACGCTGACACGCTGACACAGTCACGTACGTCGCGACTCAAACGCGATCCATACTCGCAGCCGACCAAACGCGTACCTCAAGTATCCCCCCTGTTGTGAGGATCAAGTGACAAAAGTATCGCGACTGGGTGCTCGACAGGAGTCCCTCGACGACCCGGGGTGCGCAGTAAGCTAAGTTTAGGCACGCGGGTGCGCGCGACATGAATCGCGAATGACGAGTAGGAGGTGTCAGTATGCTTCCTGACTTCTGCATGTAGGGATGTTTGAAGAGTCCCCGGCGAGCCGTCTCTGTAAACGAGTTACGCACTACTGCGATGCGCGTTGGTTTTAACAACGCGGCTCGAAACGGCTAGCCTAAAGAATCGACTCACGAGAGAAAGCACATGAAGGTTCTCCTCGATGACAAGGTTATACCTTCAGGCGCCTATCCGTTCATCGTCATCCGATCATCGCAACCGCCGCTCGCATCCCATCCTCCACATCGCGTACCATGCCGCCACACCCGATCGCAAAATATTACTCCCGGCTTCCGCCCGCAAATGCTTTCCCTGCGCGATCACTCGCGTTACTCGCACTCTATTTCGCGAATATAACATTTCGTCCACTACGTAACGATCTCTCAGGAGGAACAAACGGAAATGAAACGATATATGATGTCAGTCCAATGTATGTTTATGTTTCCGTTACCTCTGATTCCATCCCCGTTACAGGTGCTCCCAGTTTTGTGACATTGGCATGTCCCCCGCGATTCTGCGCATTCTCCCTCCCTCCGTGCTGCTGCCGCGCTTTGAGCGCTGGAGCGACTCCAACCTGCACTTTCTGAGAAGCTGCGCTGCTGCTGGGAACAGCGAGGCCTTGTTTATTCTCGGCATGGTGAGTTCTACTTTTCCGTGCCCCTTCCCTCTCTTCTCTCTATTTGTCCTCTCTATCCGTCCCTCCCTCTATCTCTCTTTACCTCCTCTATCCCATCCCCACCCCCTCCGCCCCCCTTCACCACCCCCTTCCCCACACTTTTTCTCGGTCTCTTCTTCCCCCATCTCTTTTTATCTCTCACTCCTCCCATTGTAACTTCCCTTTTCTTTCTAGCACTTGTGCTCTTCTTTACAACACTGAATCAAACCGAAACCACCTTCGTGTCTTCCCTCTGTGTCCGGCCAGACCTACACCTACTGCTTCAACGACCCTAACACAGGCTCGGCGCTCCTTACCCGAGCAGCCAGGGACGGACACGTGGCAGCACTGCATTCGCTGGCGATATTTCTGCTCAACCGTGGCAATGCGATGCCTAAGAGAAGCTGTGACGACAGCAGCAGGCATCGTGATCTGGTTACCAGTGGTAACCAGGTCGCCCACCGGCATGCCGCTGAAATCAGCTGCAGGGCCAGCAGTGAAACCACTACTGAGACTTCCAATAACATAGCTATGAGGAGCAGCTCTTCTGATGACATTGCTGCTGGGAGCAGCGTTACCGATAGTATTGATGCTGGGAGCAGCATATCCAGTGGCAGCAGCAGCAGCATGCGGGGCAATGCTGATGATAGCGGCGCCAGCAGCGCTAGCAGCAGCATCAGCAACAGTAGCTGTCGTCCCACAACCAACCCTGATGGCGCTAACAACAACAGCCTATCATGGCCGTCATCGTCACAAGCACCCTTACCAGCACCTGCGCGCACAGCAGTGCAGCTGCTGCTGAGAGCAGCGCAGGGTGGCGACATCGCATCGTTGGTGGAGCTGGCTCACTGCGTGCAGCACGGCGTGGGGGCGCGCAGCAACGAGCGCATGGCCCACTTGCTGCTCGCCCGTGCCCGTGCCCTGCAGGTGCTGCGACGGGAGCAGGGGCGGCGAGGGGAGCAAAGGGAGAGTTCGCAGCTGGACCGGCAGCAGCAGCAGCAGCAGCAGCAGCAGGCGAGACAGCAGCAAGAGCAGAGGAAGCGGGTGCTGTGTGGGGCTTGGAAATGTGCGTTGAGACAAACAGAGGACGGGACCTCTCAGGTGAAACCTCAGGTGCCATCAGCACTGCCAACTGCGCAAATGGCAACAACACTAGAAGCACAGCTGCGACCCATCCCACGAGCAGCAGCACACGAGCCACTCATCCCGCCAGCAGCAGGACACGACCCACCCATCCCACCAGCAGCACAAGAGCCAATCACTCCAGCAGCAGCAGAATGTGCGTCACTCACCTCTGCAGCAGCAGAACCAACAGCACACGAGCTGCACATTTCAGCACCGCCAGCACACGCGGCACCCGCCCCAGCAGCAGCAACAGCATGGCCACATCACCAGTGGCTGCCGGTGCCTCGTCACCCCATCCACTCCTTCCTGCTGCGATGGCGCAAGCAGGACGAAGAGGTGGTGGCACGTGCACAACTGCAGCAGCTGCAGCAGCAGCAGCAATGCTCACAATCTATGCATCATCAAGAGCTGCTGCTATTGGATAGCATACATGAGACTCAGCTGCAACCACCACTTCCACACACACCACCAACACAAGCACTACACCACCTGCTGCTGCACCAACACGCATCTGCCCTAATAACCGCACGGCAGCACCAGCAGCTGAGCCAGCCTCAGGCATGTGGGAATCGCGAGTGCGGGTGGAGGGAGACGAGTGCAGGGTCCTTCCGACGCTGCGTGGGGTGCCACGTCGCGTACTGCTCTAGGAGTTGTCAGTTGGAGGAATGGGCAAGAACGCGTGGGATGGTGGCTGAGATGGTGTTTCCGAGTGTAGGAATCCAGAATTAAAACCCATAAAAGAAATCCTTCATTTCAACTGTTGGCGCCCAGGGCAAAGAGAATGGCTCCTTCATGAACCATGAAGCAGCAGTCGTAATTTGGGTTTCCACAACCCTATTCTTTTGCATCACAAGCATGCCTAGCTGTGGACATTGGACAAGCTCACCTGTGTTCACTCTCATACCCCCCACATAGGAATGTACTCGTTTGGTAGTGCCATACAGGGCCTATTTTATCAGTGTAAATCACACTGCTATACTGATGAGAAGGGTGAAATTTAGGGCCTACACTGATGTGTTTGGGTAATTTTTTTGAAACTTAGTGTTACACTGATTTGACAGTGAAAAGATTTAGGCCACACTGATGCTCTGGGGTAAGTTTTCCCTTAGCAAAGATTACCCTTAAGGGCGTACAGGGCACCCCCCCCCCCTTCATTCCCGAAATTTGTCGGAGCGTGATTTCCGTCAATCACTCAAGTACCGAAGCGGCCTTCCCTACAGCATATGCGTTGCCAGCAGTCATGGGTGTAATTGGTCAGTTTTTTATGTTTCGATATCCTGCACGCCAAGGAAAGGACTGTTGGCATCACGTACATTGATGCTGCCTGCACTTAGTCAAATCCCAGACCACATTCATACTATCGGTGGCACAGATGCAAGCCGCGTCACCCAACGAAGCGACCTGATGCTTTGCCGTGTTGGTTCAGCAAGCTCAGCAGAGTGGGTCAAGCAGTTTCGCAACACTCAGCCATTCCTCCAGCCAACTCCGAAAACCACTGTTTTTTTTTTCCACTCTGTCTAGCATCCACACGTTCTCCACCCCGTAGCCATGGCAGCGCCTAGCGACGATGACGCTGACGATGCCGATGGCGACCCCTCTTGTAGCCACGGTCCAAGAACAGGCCTTGATTTCTTACGAGGCCCAGTCTCAGAACCTGCACCCCGTCCTTTGCCCGAGCATTCTGATGAAAGTGAGGGATGGAGGTACCCTGTGCGCAAAGCGGCTCAAGAATCACCACCGCACCAGCCTCAAGCTGAGTGTGATGACGCTGGATGGCAGCGTCCGGAACGCGATGAGGCGGACCCCGTCATGCACGACTTCGTCGCCTCGACGGAAATCGTCTCTGAAGTCCCGGAGTCTTCTAACTCTGTGTCGCTGAAAAAACGCCGGTACACGCAGTCTACTCTTGGTTACGGCGGCGGCTCGCCTCTCGTGAAACCTGCTCCTCCGCCACCTCCCGTTGTGACACCATCACCGTCACCGCTGAAGCAGACTCCAGCCGAACGCGCGGAAGCAAAGTTCCTTGAAGCACAGAGGAATTACATCACCAAATGGCTGCCGTAATTTGATTGGTTGTTGCTTGACAAGGGTGATGATGGTCTGCCTTGTTTGCGGTGCAGTGTGTGCAGCGAGCACGGTCCCGACAATGCACGCTACGGGCGGAATGGCAGCGGCGGACGGGACCTGCAGCCAGAGTCGATGCGGGCACACCAAGCGAGCTCCCGCCATCACGACTGCATTGATCGGCAGAAGGGTCTTCTGGACAAGCTGGCGGCGCAGAAGAAAATCGACGACTACGAGAGGGCTGACCCCGAGGGTGCGCGCGTGACGAGACTTATGCGCAGCATCCAGTTTGTGTGCGACGAGGACGCTCCGATCGCAATGTTCCCGAGGCTCGTAGAGTTCCTCGCGAAGGAAGGCGTTTCCGACATTCCTCAGCAGACCTACGGTGTATATATAACTCAGTGAGTGAAATTGAATACGTTTTTGCCGTATTGGTGTATATCTTTCAGTACGATACACACCTTCCCTTTTGCTCACCATGCAGATACGGCTTCACGGAGATGGTGAAGGCTATGTGCACGTATCAGCAACAGCAGCAGCTTATTTACATCCATGCATCACCGTGGATCGGCATCAGCTGCGACGAGAGCACAGACCGGTCGCGCGGCAAACACCTCGTTGTGTTTGCAACCTTCATGAAGGAGCGAGCAGTGGTGACGGAATTTCTCGCTCTACTCACCATACACAAATGAGACGCGGGATCCCTCTTCGCGGTTTTGCTGAGCCACCTCGACAACATCGGGATTGATCTGCAGCGGATTGTCGCAGTTAGCACGGACGGCACGGGGGTGATGATTGGCAGCCAATCCGGTCTTGTTGTTCGTCTCCGTCAGCGCGTCCCACATCTGGTCGGGACTCATTGCATAGCGCACAGGTAGATTTGTTGTTTCCGTACAATTGCCTTGTCTAAGGTAGTAACTTCCTAAACCCTTAGGCATTTTTAATGTTGTATGCAGAGAAGTGCTCGCGGTCAAAGAAGCCGCGTTGAAGTTCACGGACCTCGACATCGTCGATGACGCCATACGTGGGCTTGGCGAAATCGTCATGCGATCTTCCGTGTGGCTTGAGCGCTTCAAGGAGCTCCAGCTCGAAATACATCAAACGAATCTGGAGCACCAGGGGCTCTTCGACGTGCGTTGGCTATCGCGCGGGGATGCAGTGGCCCGTCTGTGCAGAATTCTTGGGGCGGCGATCGTGGTGTTCATCGAGTACAACCACAGCATGGCGATAACTGTTCAGACCCTGAAGTTTCACTTCTGCCTCTACTTCTTGGCGGATCTGCTGGCAGAGATCAACGCACTCAACAAGTTTTTCCAGCGCAAGAAAGTAAATGTTGATTCACTGTGCATGTATTTCTTTCAGTCGCGTCATTTAATTCTACACTAACATTTAAACGTGTCGTTCATCTGCCCGTCTTAGGTTCAGGTTGATATCACGCTCGTGCACCAAGAGTTGGATCGCACGATTGGAGTCATTAGACTTCGATACGTGGAATACGTGGACATTTTCGGAGGGGGGGTCAGCAAGCTGCTGTCGCCATTCATCGCACGCCTTGGCAGCGGCAGGCGAACGATCCGCGTGGACGGCACGGATGTGGATGGTGAGCCATCTTCACATCAGATCGTGCTGAGCGAGGCGCCAATACCAGGACACCAATACGTCGGCTCGATGGCTGACTGCATCAAGTTGTGCAAAGCGTTCGCACTGGAGGTGGCGACAAACATGCACACTCGCATGTGGAGCTTGAAGCAAATGGAGGGCAGCAAGCTTTACAAAGTTGAAACGTGGCCGGAAGCGTCAGACAAGCAGGAGCGTCGGGTGCTGAGTTGGCTGGATGCCAACGCGCGGCTCTTCAACAACCGGCTGCCAGGTAATCATCCACACGTGGATGTTGTCTTGTATGAGCGTGTTTTGTTTTGTTTTGTTTCGGCCTTTATACTCACAAAATGTTGTCCCTCCATCACACGTGGCAGGCTTCAACCACCGAGCGGCAGAGCTCGAGCTGGCCAGCTTCAGCCACGTCATGTCTCGCCACTACCAGGACGATGACTTCTACCAGGGTCTTAACAAAATGTTGAGGACCAAGGATTGGCCGCGCAGTTTTCCCAACCTGACGTCCATGTGGCAGGCGCTGGCAGTAATTCCGCTAAGTACCATGGAGTGCGAGCGCGGATTCAGCCACCAAAACGTGATCAAAAGCTGGTTGCGGACGTCGCTTAGCGACGCCCGGCTATCCAAACTGATGACCCTGAACATGTTAAGCTATGAGTACAAGTGGCCCGAGGTGGTGGATATCTGGCGAAAGCACAACAAGAGAAGACCCGCAAAACACCTGCCCCATACAAGTCGTGCTCTGGAAAAGGAAAGGAAAGAGAGGAGTCGTCTGATGGTAGCGAGGATGAGCGTACATACATGTGACTGAATGGATATATTAATAAAATGTTGTTTCCCAATTTCTAAAACGATTAGTAATATTTTTTTGTCAGAATGTTATTGTTCTCTAGCCTGCAGTGGGGTACTCTATAGCGAGTACAACCCCCTAGGGTTTCCTATATGTATCCTGCTGCTTTCTAGTGAACATCCTCCTTTGCTTATTCTCTCTTGCCTAGCTAGGGCTTACCTAGCTATGGCTCCTACTCATGCCTACGATTTTCACATGGTATCAGAGCACTCACGCTCCTGGCCTGTGGGCCCTACTGCTGCTTCCGCTGCTACTCTGTGTGTTGCACGCCCCGTGGCGTGCGACGGATTTCTCTTCCCGCCGCGCGCTCGGAGCGTGCGGCGGTTTTCTGCCCGCCGTGCGCCCCGGGGCGTGCGGCGGTTCTCTGCCCGCCGTGCGCCCCGAGGCGCGCGGCGGCCTTCTGCCCCGTCGGTCCGCGCGTCGCCCCCGGGGGGCGCTTCGACGGGCGACGGGGACCAGCCCGTCGTCCCCCGTCGCCCGTCCTGGCCAGCGCGGGCTGCGCCAGCCCCGAGCGCGGCCCGTACGGGCTGCGCCCGGCCCGCGCGCGGCCCGTACGGGCTGCGCCAGGCCCGCGCGCGGCCCGTACGGGCTGCGCCAGGCCCGCGCGCGGCTCGGGCCGCCTGCGCGCGGTTCGTCGGGCTGTGCCAGGCCCGTGGGCGGCCCGTTCCTCTCTGTCCCTGAGCTGCTCGCTGTCCCCCGTGCTTCTGACGGTGCCCCACCCCTACTGCTGCCCGTTCTCCTGAATTAGGGTTTGGGGGTGAGGAGTGTGGGGGTGGCGGTTGTGTGTTACTCCCCTTGCTCCTCCTCCTCCCTGGTCTCCCACTGCTGCAGCTGCCGCTGAGGGGGGTGGGTGTGTGGGAGCCTAGGGTTTAGGGTTTAAGGGGGGTGCTGTAGGAGTGGAGTTAGGGGTTCAGCAGGGGGTGTGTGTCGAGGGTGTGGGGCAGTTGGAGGAGGTTGTGTGGAGGTAGCGGTCGTGTCGCCTGCAGCGCCTGTAGTCCGTCGCCCTTGCTTCGGTAGCCAGTGAGCCTGTTGCACCAGTCGCCAGTGGGTCCGTTGTCCCTGCCGCTCGTCTATAGCCGCGGAGCCAGTTACTCCAGTAGTCCGTCGCCCTTGCTTCGGTAGCCACTGAGTCAGCCGCTCCTGTGCCCGTGCCTCTGCAGCTTCAGTCGT